ACTATTTCGTGCTTGACATGTTCCATTGAAATCAATGGCTCAACTTACAGTCCGCATGGTGAGCCGTACCAGCGAGTCAGCCAGTCCCACTTTGGTGTGAGAACATTTGCAATATACACCGTTCAATAAGACACTTTAAGCTTTTTGGTGAACTGACACCGCACTGAGCCTGTGTGACAGTTGGTGTGGTGCTATGTTGGGGCGAGGCTGCAGGAGATTCCTCAAAAAATCTTAAAGGATGTTTGCACATCCGATGCTCTGCAAATAAGGTTTGTCTATATTCGTCTCGGATATACAGTGGAATGTAACGTGAACAATTGTTCATTGCACCCCACTCCTGCTGCACCTCTGCAACCGACTCCATATGGACTGCCTGGCATTCAATGCTAAAATGTGGGCCAATTCCAATAGGCTGACAGGCTGACAGGCTTGAAACTCGGAGCAAAAGAACATGTTTCTTTGGCCGGGTAACAACCGAAAAGGTGACTAATGGGCGCGCTGCACTGCGCGCTTCACTGCGTCAACCATGCCTCTTGCTCTTGTTTGCTGAGATCTTCTGCTGGTTGGTGCACGCGTGCCTCTTCGACCTCCCCGAGCACAATCTGACCACTATTTCAGGTGCTGTATCCAGTGAGGATGAACATGTGGCTTGTTGGGGGGTCAGCACAAGTCACTACTATCATGAACATGCTTCTCAGCTTGTGCTTATTGAAATGTTCCATTGAAATCAGTGGCTCAACTTAGAGTCCGCATGGTGAGCCGTACGAGCCAGTCCCACTTTGGTGTGAGAACATTTGCAATATACATCAAAATACACCGTTCAAAAAGACACTTTAAGCTTTTTGGTGAACTGACACCGCACCGCGCCTGTGTGATGGTTGGTGTGGTGCTATGTTGGGGCGAAGCTGCAGGAGATTCCTCAAAGAATCTTAAAGGATGTTACACATCCGATACTCTGCAATTAAGGTTCGTCTATGTTCGTCTTGGATCAACAATGGAATGTACCGTGAACAATTGTTCATTGCACCCCACTCCTGCTGCACCTCTGCAACCGACTCCGTATGGACTGCCTGGCATTCAATGGGGTGTCCCAGCAGAATGCTAAAGTGCGTGCCAAGCCCAATTTAATAGGCTGACAGGCTGACAGGATTGAAACTCGGAGCAAAAGAACATGTTGTTTTGGCCGAGCTACAACTGAAAAGGCGACTAATGGGCGCGCTGCACTGCGCGTTTCCACTGCGTCAACCTTGCCTCTTGCTCTTGTTTGCCAAGATCTTCTGTTGGCTGCTGCACGC